TCTGACTCTGACTTGGCAGAACATTGGTTTGTTATGTGGCCGCTCTCCTGCAGCTTTATATAGTGTTTGAACACACAATATGACCTTTACCCCAGCTGGCGCGTGAGCGGGGCAAATAGAACAGACTGGATGGAATATCTGAACTTCATTATACTTAGATTTAAAGCTGACAGGATGAAACATGAGATCCCTTCCAGGTTCCTTCTGACTCCTCAGTACTCAAACACTTGAGGCCAACTCTGATAAGAAAAGAAACAAACCTCGGATGTTTAACCGTTCACTGACGCAGCTCTGAAAGGCTGGTTTCTCTGTATTTGTGGAGCCATGATGGCTACCCTCCTGTGCTGTTTCAGATCAAGGTGTGCGCATGTTCTCATAAATTAACCCTTCGTAACTGCAATACATCAGGTGTGACGCAAAATCAACAGATGACTTAGTCGATTGTGGCTGGAGCAAACCGTCAAGAGGTCGTGACAGTGTCGCTTTGTTGATCTTAGATTCACAGTTTTTTGTGAAGTTTTTTGTCATCAAGTGATATCTTTATTAGATCTGTCTTCAAACTTCAGAGCTGGGATGATATGTCTTTGTGGCGATTCTATTTCATCACGATTCTTGGTAGCCGACTTGATTTATTTTGCCATTCTAAGGTAATGCTTACTTTAATCTGTGATCACCTCATTGCCTCGCTGCTACAAACGCATTTACTAACGTGAAATAAATGTGGCTGATGTTTTAAGCTGAGTGTTCATTAGGTGAGCTCAGGAGCTAATTAGCGAGCTAGCAGCTCACAGAGGAGAGACAGTTGTATGACATTGGATGGAACAACAGATGGAACATTTTCACATAAATTAAAGGTTCTTGTTTGTAACTTCAGTCTGAATGTAGCTATATTGATAACCTGAAAGACTCTAAAGCTATTGAGAAAACAAGACGTGCAGTGACTGCTCCTCTACACGTTCAGAAGCTCTGGGCTCACGTCTGGTGTTTTTCTGTAAACGGATATGACGTCATGATAATCGATCCCAGGGGAACTAATCGATGTTTTGAATCGTCCAATAAAAAAATTGCGATACTTTAGTGAATCCATTTTTTCATCCTGGGTCTAAGAGATAGATAGATGGAGATTTGCAAAGACATGAGTTGGGTGGATCCCTCGATTGTATCAAACAGTTGTGAAAAAGATATTTAATGAAGACAACAAATGTACAGCTGGCCAGAATTGCAACAGTGAGCTGAAACACTCATTTAGAAATTAACATTTGTAAAAATAAACTATACACAATTAAAAAATGTTTTACTTAAATTGAATAAACCTTGTCATTTCAGCACATATCAGAGATAAAAATTAGCTGATACCAAAGGTCACATGATATGCTAATATGGGCCGGTTTTGTTGGCCAGTGGATTAGGCCTGCTGTAACAGAGTGTTATTTCTCTGAAGGTAACCGACCGCTGTTTTGTATCAAAGTGAAGACTCTTCACTTGCTGATTTCCCGGGTCCAAGGTTTCAGTTTATACTCAGGAGAGGAATGAGAAACGTAGACTTAGAAACATTGACGAAGTCAGACCTTGTTGACATTTTATTTTACCGTTGTATCACCAGCTGTATAGATTATTGGAACTACCTTTTACTGGATTTCCCCAAAAGTATCTCAAAACAACTCCGTCAGAATGTTGCTGTCAGGATCTTATGGAAAACTGATAATGTAACTCCACTTGCACAATGTCTTTGTTTCCTTGTTCCTTTTAGAAGTGATTTAAAGTTCTTTAAAATGCTTTTTTAAGCTTTACACGGCCTAGCTTCTCCATACAATACTGACCTTCTCTCTTTTTACACTCCTGGAGGATCCCTTAGGCCCTCGATGCTTCCCTTTCAAATGTCCCTGATGTGACCAAAACATACGGAGCCCTTGTAGTCCCAAAAAAATACAAAATAAAAATCTTGTGCGCACAACTTAATACCCAGCCAGGCCTGAGCTCGGTTATCTCTTGTACATACATCATCACGTTGTAACACTGGATAGTCCGGAATTTACCAAAGACCTCTGAGTTCTTGTGGGTCCCGTCCAGCTGACTCTGGACATCTGCGGCTGCCTGAATTTGGAGTAAACACTCGACCTCTGTATCGGACCAATGTAAACCCTTTGCCACCATTGTATGAAAGGATTTTCCAGGAGGAACAGTCGCATCGATTAGGCAGTAGGGGGCCGTACCATGCTGAGGTACTTCTGGTATGGAGCACTCACAGTGGTCCGAAAAAATGGACTTTGGGGTCAAACGTGCTCGGGCATGATACTGATGGCCTGGTGTGAGTGTGCCCTTCGTCTTTTTTTAACTCAGCCATAGGGTTGGTCTGATTGACCATACCATTGTCCATCACTAAATGATTGCATTGACCACAGAGCAATTTTCTGACAACTTTTTTTAAATTCAGCAATTCATGAATTACTAATCAACATTTTTTGATGTTATCTAGGTTGATCTTAGAGCCAAGGACTGTAGGATGCTTTAATCAGCTGAAAGTGAATCTACAGCTATAGAGTTACACTCCAGGATGGAGGCAGAGTCTGTGTTGGGAGAGTCCAGTTTCAGAAAGTGCCCAGAACTGACTGACCTCTCCCTTAAAAACCTAAAACCTCCTCACAGTATGAGCCATATAAGCTTTTTTTTGGCCCATGATATTTAGTTGGGAATGTCTGAATGAGGCCATTGTATGTAGCAGAGAGGGACCTGGGAGAGGTGGAAACAGATCTTTGCTAGGGCCACTATACCAGCCAGCTGCAACTTCTCCAAGCCCTCCCCCCCCTCACGCAGCGGAGGAAACACTCCACCAAGGAGACTTTTAATGAAATTGTTCCTAAAGCAAGATCCCCACTTCTCTGGGAAATCCAAACACAGGGAGGGAGTGCAGAAGGACTAACATGACGGTAGGCAGGGAGGAGGTGCTGTGATGACTCAGAATGAAAGAATTCAATTACATATAGACACAGAGATGAAGGCCCTACGTACCATTTGGAAATAGATTTATGTAGGCTACTTATTTACCAACAAATGAAAATGTGTTTTTTACTTGCTCGCCTTCTAAATCAAATCAATACTCAACCTGATTCTGTTAAAGGTGAAATCCCATACGCACAAATCTAAAAAATGTTGTATCAACTTGATTATCTAAAAACAAGAACTCTTTTAAAACCATAAGCCGGTGTACACTGTTTGAGCTACTTGTGGACTGAGCTATGACTTTTTATTTTGATGTTGTTTTCTTTCTGATCTTTGACTGTGCCTGGGTCCATAGGCATTGTAATCAAATGTATATTGTTTCTTACCTGTTATGTATAAGGTTTGAAATGTACGCGTGAGTAACAGCACACACAGAGATCCCTCAGTGATGCGAATGGCTTAAAGTAGGCCTCTTCTTCAAACATTTGCTCCCATGCATCCCGTAATATTTGCTGTAGATTTTCGACACACTGCATTACAGTACTGGCAGAAGGGCTGCGCTTAAAAAAATCTAAATGGCAAAATATCGTCATGTGCTCTTGTATCGATGTAGATGTTACAGAATCCATATGGCTGCAAAGCTATGATGACAGTTTTGAAAGACAATGGACCTATAGTACAGTTTCACAATAACACCATAGCCATATCTCTGGGATTAAAATATTTTAATGTATTTCTAGGATCTCATGAGAATCTGAATTGAAGTGTTTTTAGGTGGGATCCTTAAAATACCTCTCCTATTATTCTCAACAATAGAACAGCTGATGTAATGTAATTATGTTTGGGACATTGTCGTTATCCAAAATCAATGTATCATCAATGCTGCTCGAATGTTTTTACACTCGATGATTTTTTCACATATTGAATACTGTATAACCACATGGTCACTTGCTGCTGGCACAACAACAACCAATACAATCTCTTTTTAAAAAAGGCCATAAAAATCTTTGGCATTTTCGTTTCACCATTGCACTGTTTTAGATAAACATAACTGACTACATTTTCATAATTTTGTTCATTTTAAAAATGCATGTTTTATACATAAAATTTTGCACGGACTTGCTCCTCCTCCTTTGAAGGACTTTATAAAGCTGAAGTCTGCCAGTGGGATCGGCACCAGGGGCCACAGCCCGAGGAGACTGTGAGGTCCCACACAGACGCACTACATTCAGACTGTTCTGTCAGGCAAAGGAACTAAATATTGGAATATTCTCCCACTCACAATAAGAGACTCACAAACATATGCAACCTTCAAAACACACCTCAAACAAGTCTGTGACCACCTTTAACCTTTAACCTCTATTATTGTCTTGTGTCACTTGTGCCTTTGTATTTGTATTTTATTTGTAATTTGTCTTTCTCTGTTACCTGCCTAGGGACAACAGATGGAAAATAGCCCTTCTGCTATAATCTGGCATTTTTACAGCTGTAACTGTTACAGCTGTTCATTAATATGCACTGTGCCTAACAAATAAATAAATAAATACAATAAAAAAATATCGTGGCCTCTGTATCGTGATAGGTATTGTGCCGCTGTGGGAAATACCCAGCCCTAATTGGCAGTGCGTGATATGAATGGATTTCAAAATAAGGTGTGGAGATAACAATGAGCTGGGGACCCAAGGAAGAAAGGCTGAGCTCTAGTGTAGCCTACAGCTAATGGGGATCCTTACAAATAGACACATGTGAACAGTGACCCTTACACATCAATGTGTAATTATATTTAGTCATGCACTCGTTTTAAATAGGCCTATTAAAAATGCTTAAATTTAAATTTTGTTGGAGACTCTCCCCCTGCTATTTTCTTCACCACTGTCATTATCATCATTAAATCATTTTTTATATATTTTTTTTAACGTTGTTTAAAGTAGCCTATGGATTTAAAGATATAATTAAAGGAGGAAAACGTAATTTTGAGACAGCATTTGAAGACATAATGTGTTGCGAAGAAAATAAATTCAACATATTCGTTGGTCAAATGAGAAGGAAAAAACGCTCACCCAGCTTCAGACTGCTGTTGAAGTAGAGGAGCAGCATAATGAAACATCCGAGACCCACGGCAAAAACCACCCGAGGGACTCCGGGGCTCCTCATCCTGGGGTCGTTGGAAATGCCCCCAAACAGAGCCTATTCCTCCCCGGGTTCATGCGAGATTAAAAAAAAGAATTAAAAAAAAAAAAAAAAAAAGATCCGTCCTTGTCGGGGACTTGCGGTGTCTCTACTTTATCACCGATGAGAGCAGCGAACCGGCTCGCTGACCTTTGCGTCCTCGCGTCTTCCCGCACATCCTTTGATCTGTAGCATTGGAGCCGCCGTGGTTTCAGAGGGGGGGGGGGTACTGGACGGGACTCAGACGAGCCGGGTAGCAGCAGACTTCACCGGTCCGCTGTAGTTACCGTTACATGACTATGTGTGCTGGTTCAGAGAAAAGTGGAACAGACTGAGCTCACTGTCAGTCAGTCAGTGTGTCCGAGCGGAGGCCACCGTCTGTTTGTGTAAGGGGGGGTGGGGGTGAGGGGTGTGTGGGGTTGGGGGGGGGTTTACATACCCCAGCGTCTTCCCAAACCGGTGGGTTGTGTCTTTAACCCCTTTCTGCCCAAACGGCCTGCACCAACTCACCCACTCTGCAGATGTCTGATACTCAAGCTCGAGCCTACAGCGACATAGAAAGAGACTTCCGCTTGATTGTTTCAAATTAAAAGTCCTAAACAAAGGCTTCAGGTGACAGAAATCCCTCGAGTGAAAGTCCACATGGATAATAATAGGCCCCAGAAAAAAAAAACACATCTAAAAAAAACAAAAAAACGCACAGACACAATTTAATCAGCCAAATAAATTAGTTGTGACAATTTAAATTGATTGAAAAGGGTATATGCTACTTGACTTTCAAAATTGATTTAGCCTTTACCCTGCATTTGAGCAATCTTGTCTAGATGCAATGGACAATTAGATAAATACACAAGGATATTTGCCTGTGAAAGCTCCACTGTTGAAAAAATGAAGCCAATTTGGAAGTGCAAAAAAAACTGCAGTTTCCGGAGTGTCCACTTGAGGCCAGCTCCGAAAGACCAAGAAGTCCCATATGCACCCCATGTTAAAGTCCGTTTTGACCGTAGAAATACACGTTTAAAACCTGCTACAAAGAGCAATTTTGTTGTTATTATGTGGACACACTGTATAGAGGTGAATTTATTTTATTACCCACCCCTCTTTTTGTTTTAGAAATGATACAAGTCATGTAGGGTGTGATATCTAACAGCAAGCCGTAGTGTTGTAGCTGTTTGTCAGGAGGTTTAAGGCCCGCCTCAGCTTTGGCTCTTTGTCTGTCATTATAGGTTGACCAAACGTATACTGTAAGCATTTCTAATATGGCAACCACCATACAGCCCTTCAGAAACCAAAGTGTGATGTCACTCAGGCTTCATCCACTATTATTACAATGAAGTGTTATCTTATCTTATGTACAGTTGATGCTTGAGCTTCCTATAGTTCTTTTCCATTATTCTCTGTATCCCGTTATGTCTATTTCCAGTTATTTTTATCACAGTAACTTCACGCTCTTATTTTGAAGCCACCATGAACTGATATCCGCTGTTATTCTGTTTGCCTCTGGTTGTCTTTACATAGCTCTAGTGTTCCTAACATCAACATGATAGTCCAAAATGTGACAAACTGATGGATTTGTTTGTAGTAATTCAGCATCTGCTGTTGATTTCTCCTCTTGTCTTCACAACCTCACTTCATTAATCACTGTAAAATAAAACCAGCAGTTATAGGAGCGTCATCCTGTCTCACTTCACTGAAAAACAAGAGCCAAAAGTAATCCAAAGGTAACTTTACTGCAGACCTATTACTTAACAACATAAAAACATACATTCCAGTAGAATTACAGCAGGGATATTGGAATAAAAAGTATTTCATGTGTCTGGTATATGTTCATTAAATATCTTCTTATTCATCACACATCCCCCAAAAAAATAGATTCCACATAAAAAAGTCATAAATCATATGATGACGCACATCTTATGGAATTCACTCCCCAAGTTATCTGCATAATAACTCTTGTAAATTCTAATCCCTTGTTTTTGTTGAGCTGAATATGAAGAATTTTGGCCTGAAGAGTGCAGGAGGATGCTGGAAGGTTGATTATTTCAGTCACGGCAGTGTGAAGGAAGATCACTTCATGTGCTGGGTCTGATGGAACAACATTCAAATAAATCCAAATCTCCTCATCCACTGTGGAACTTTGGCTCTTGCACAATGTATTCAGCATCAGTGGAGACTTATGAGACAATTAGTAAATCATTTAACACATCCTTAAGTATGTTTCCAGTGTGTTTACATGGGGCAGCAGTGGCTCAGTCTGTAGGGAACTGGAGGAGCAATGCACCAGGCGCTCTTCCATGTGCAGCCACCTCACTCTGAAATCTGTCCATAAGATTTTGTTTGTGCATGTGTGTGTATTTGTCCCTGTGTGTATGTAGCAGGTTCAACAAGAGTGTAAACATTTGATTTCCACTTTGGGGATTAATAAATTCTTCTGAAATTCATATTTGTATCCGATCATATATTTATTGAACATTAAACAACTAAATGATGAACACGATCTTTTATTGACATGTGGAAACTGTATAATCAGAATTTTGTATGACTTGACTTGACTTGCTTGATTCTCACCGCAGTGACCTGCGACTTGCATGAGACTTGAAGGTTGAGCCTTGAGACTTTGCTTGTGACTTACTCCCATGTCTGCATCCTACTGTATATGTACACACAATGGAGAGGCTATCCTCCACATTAGAGAGTGTATGACTGTAGAAAGTCTTAAAGGACTGACTTAAGTCTATCATTTGATACATCTGCTCCCTTCAGGCCCAGTCGCAGTGAACCAGATGGCGGCTTCATCCACAGCAGTGCAGGACTTAAGCTTTATCTTATTAGAGCAGGGAGAATTTTCTCCAGAGGGTATTTTGACCTCTGAACCTTCTCCAAATTCCTCATATCCATCTCCCCGGGCACTGTGGACCAGATCCCTTTAGAGAAGTCAGGATGCGTTGAGAAGCCACGCGACTGATCAAACCCCAGTCCTTACAGCGAGACAGTGTGAAGCCTGCGAGTGTTTACTTTCAGAGAATGGAATGATGGGTAACCATGGGTGGGCTGGTGCCGGTCAGGAGGCAGCAGGACGCAGCCTTAATGCTGACCAATCAGACAGAAAGGGTGTAGCAGAATCAATATTTGGTTGATAAAAGGTTAGTGAAGTTTAACTGGCAAAGCGCTTTGCATGTTGGAAACATGTCTGTTAGATACTGATACACGAATGACTGAGGAGCTCTCCCTGCAAAGTGGATCAATTACTTAACAGACCTACCCATAATTTAAAAAAAAGAGTAAAAAAAAGATGTATAAAACTACAAAGAGACACAGAATGAGTAGAATAAGAGTCAAAATAACTGTGAATAATAATAATAACTTTATTTATATAGCACCTTTTAAAAACACAGGTTTACAAAGTGCTTTGACAAACAGCAAGAACAAAGCAAACTAAACCAAACACAGAAAAACATTAACAACAGTAAGAATATAACAGATGCAAAATACCAAAAATAATTAAAAACAATTCAACAGAAAAGAACCCAAAGTGCACGATACACAACCAGACATATAGAACCCTGAAGAGATACAGAACAAGAGAAGAGAGGTGCACATTGACCACAAACTGACAACAAAGAGATGCAAAATTAACACAGCAACAGAGACACTCAAAATGACAACAAAGAGAAATAAATGGACACCCCAAGAGCAGGCGAAGAGACCCATGAAATGACACCAAAAAGAGAAACACAAAACAAAGGAACTATGATTAAACATTCTTAACAAAGTGGTTGAACCTGTTAGACATCTGTGTGAAAGATTAATCATTACGAGTATGTTAACATGCTGGCGCTAACATTTAGCACATTGCACCACTGCATATGGCAAAGTTTTGTTCTTTTGGAAAGGACAGCTGAAAAGAGAGAGTAAATGTTGGGAGGAGAGAGAGGAGAATGATATGCAGCAAAGGGCCGAAGTAGGATTCAAACCCAGGGCCACTGCAACGAGGACTGTAGCGCCCCATATGCCAAAATCTTATTATATGACTGTATGTATGTGTTGTTGTCATCCTTGATGTTGTTGGGTTTTTTTTTTACCTAATATTTTTCCATTAGATCTTAAAGTTGTCCTAAAAACAGCACTTTGTCGACTTCAGAATTGCATTCAGAAACTCATAACCTCAGATCCATAACCCGCACAGGAAGTCCCGCCCTCCCTCCTTTTGTTTTGCACCTTCCTAGTCACGATAGGAAAAGCTGCACAGCTTCCCTCAGTCAACAGGGAAAAGTTTATTTCTTTCATTTTTAATATTTTATATCTTTGCACGAACTTGAAGTATGCCTGTCTTCCGTAGTTTTTTTTTTACCTTATATTTTCCCATTAGGTCTGAAAGTTGCCTTAAAACAGCACTTTGTTGAATTCAAAATTGCATATCAAAAAAAAAAAAAAATCGGCACAGTACACTTTTTTTGATTCAGCCAATCATCCTTGTCCAAGCCTGGCCCCTTTATTACCTACAGCGCAACACAACTACTAACAGTTCAGGTAGGGATAAATGTGTGTTTTATTTCTAATGGCATACACACACACCATATCCACGTCTCTGGATTTTTAAATTCTAAACTCTTGCGGTCAACTTGAATCAATTCATCAGATTTTGCACAGCTCCTCTTTGAGCCACAAAACCTTTTTAAACAAGATGTTTTATTTCATACAAATGCAGTTCTCTCTGAGACCTGTAAGCAGACACACATTATGTAAAATTAGTGGATTTGTCCTTTAATTAGTGTAGTCTCTAAACAATAAATACACAGAAAAAAGTTTTTAAAAAAACAGTGAATCTGTTGACAGCGCTGACAATTATCAGAGCATTCTTAAAGTTTTCCAACATCTGGCTGTTCAGAGTCTTCTCTGTCCAGCAGGGTGTAATGACATCACACGGCGAGGTGTGACCCCTCTTTCACGGTCTGTCACACGTCCAACTCAACACTTAACTCCCAGCTGCAGAGACAATCCACATGTCCTACAAAGACCCTTCTTCTATAAAACCAGCCTGGAATTAATTACAAACACATTTCAGCAGAAGAGGAGAAAGAGGAGGAGGGACGGGACACACGCTGGTTTTATGGGGAACATAATGTACTAAAGATGCAGACTTGCTTATCGATGCAAAGGAAAAGAGACTCTAGATACACAGTGTTGTGTTTACTTGTTTGCATTTAGTATGTGAGTAAATCCAGAAACTTTTCTTGGATTATTTGAACTTTAAAGTGATTAAGTTATTGTGATAATTAGGGCTGGGAGATCAAATCGATTTTTATCAATAAATTGTATTTGTGGCAGATTTTCTCTTTAACTTACTCTGTCGCTCCCCTTGGGTTCACATAGTTCACATCCTCCTCCCTCGTTTGCTTCCTACAGAGTAGCTGGGTGGTCTCAGGTATGTGCCACTCAGCCACATGTACTTTGCTGAATGCTGAAACTGCATTGTGCACTTTTAAAGACAAGTTTACTGCTTGCACTTTAACCCTTAAAAGAACAAATTCAGGGTCACTTTGATTATCCTCCAAGGGAAACTAAGCTAGCTTCTGTTAAGTTGTATTGATAAAATAAAAGCAGGACTTTTTTTAGTAACTAAAAAGTGTGGTTTGGTGTAAAAATAAAAAAATAAAAAAATATAATTGTTTTAATTTGAACTTTCAGGCCATACCACCCAGCCCTAGTGGAAAGTCTTCACAGCAAAATATTCCTGACATTTCTAAGGATAGCTGCCTCAAATTGTGAAGACTAAATAGAGAGGACAAACTTATGATTGAAGTCTATAAATAGATGAATACTCAGCCCAGATAAGAGAGTACCCTCTGTGCCCACAAGGCCACAGCAAAGTGCAGACAACTGTAAGACTGGGCTGCCCTCTAGAGGCCAATGACTGTAAGCAACATTGCAGTTTACAATCATTTAAACAGGATGTGAATCAGAGGAGTTGAGATTATTTGCATCTGTCATAAGTGGAGTCAGACATTTGAAAACATGTTTTGCATGAGATGGTTTTTGTGAAACTGACACAATTTAGTCAACTGAGCTCACGTTCGAGGACTTTCTTCTCCACAGAATCATTCAAATTCATTTCTTGATAGTCTCTTATCCTATTGGCCTCCACCTTATTCCACTTTTCTAATTATTATTACAGGGGCATTACATTTCCTGAAAGCAGTTCCAGTTTATCCAGTTACAGATTAGGACAGTCACATCTTATTAATCAATAACCGTATGTATTTGAAACTCACAGATTTACTTAAGATTATTTCCTTTCTTGTCGGTTAATCATTGCCTGTGTTCTCTTTTCTATCACAGCTGTAATGTGTGAGATTTGATTACATAAAAAATGGGACTTGACCGGTGGCTTGAGCCTCCTCAGTGATGATAAGAATTGTGTTGTAACCATAGGGTTGTAACTAGCTGAGTTAAAGAGTGACAGATATTACGTTGGACTTCTCAGCGTGTCGTGTCAGTAAATACTTGAGTTTCCTTCTGGCAACTCACAGCCTTTCCAGGAAACTTTATCCTGACCTTTGAATTTCCACAACCCAGCTCTACCTGCAGCAGGAGGGAAGGAAACACTGCTTGGTCTTTCAGACGAGGCTTATAGGCTAATAATGGTTCCAATTTAAAAAAAACAAAAAACATGATTACAACGTTTTCTAGAGAGAGATAAGATCAGATACAGACAAGAAAGCCAATAAATTGAAGCAAGGTGGATAGAAGATAATTAGGTAACACTTTAAATTAAGGTCACAGTATTCACCATTAACTAAGAATTTGCCCTCAATACCCTCCTAATTCCTGCTTATGATCGTATATGCTTTGCTTAGTATGACCTTATTTGGTAGAAATAATCAAAAGTATTTTCAAGTAAGACCAGCATACTTATCAAACTGAGGCGCTAACACGCTGCTCAGTGTCCTCATAATGAGAGATGGACAAACATCACACAGGTGGCTGGACTTTCAAGGTCCCTCTTAGTTTTAAAGCTTTCAGCCGAGTCTCAGAAACAGACCTCTGTGTTCTGCACTGGAATAACAAGCAGCCGTGACTCATTAGCTCATACCACTGATTAATGCCCTCAATAAAATGGTCATAGGCCGTATCAAAACTCATCAAAGCCCGAGTTGTCGTGGCAACCCGTGCAGGTGACAGTGTTTTTCAGATGAGAGCCGGTGAGCCCAACAAAGGCTTCACACCAGCACAGATGCTATTTGATCAAGACCGCCGCCTGTGGAGGCTGAATAGTCTCGCCCAGAGGAAATGATGCTATTATTTCTCCACGGCTCTCTGATGTGGGAAACACATGAATAGGCCGTCCCACTTCAACGGGATGATTCTGATCCGCTGTACCTGTGTGCAGCACTTAAAACATATCCACCAGCCCTGGTCTCCTCTTAAGCTGTGCAGCATGAGTGACGAGTGGCACGAGGAACCCTGAAGTGTTCAATATGAAATCAACCAGGCATTATGAATTAGCTAAGTAAATAACTGGGGATTCATAGAAACAGCTTTCATTATATAGTCAATTCTCATTTAGGTGTTTCACTTTTATGACAGAAAGAATTAAAAGAAAATGTATTTTCACTCAGGTCTGTTTTTATTTCAGAAGATCCTTTGGACTGGAACATTGCCCTTGTTTAAATAAAGTTGCTCATAAGGAGTTGTACATTGCTCGCACCGTTCTCTTTTTTTCTGCAGTGTATACATTTGTTGTCCTACACCTGTATGCATTTTTCTAGTTTTCTCTTTTTGATGATTGCAACTTCCCCACTGTTTGGAAGCTCTAAGTGAACATGCATCAACACCTCTGATTTGACTCTGCTTTCCCATCATGACAAGTACATGTGGGTTGTTTTCTGGAGATCTTTAACTTCTTGTTTCATGAGCTTGTGATAAAAACGCTGATTTTTCCCTCTTCAACAAAATCCCAACTTCCGGTGTTAACAAACGCATGCTATCTGTCACTCATATTGATGATCCAATGGTTAGGTTTTCTCTGCCTCTGATGACCTGATACATTAGTCCCCTCTAGTTATAAGAGGAGCAGCCTCTTCATATGTACAGTCATTCACAACAACGTGGGCATTGTTGCTCAAGTTAACAGAGCTCGCAGGCTGACATTGGTAGCAATTGCTGAGCTTGTTAGGAAACTGGAGGCATCTGATTGGCTGAAAGGTGAGGGAGCAGTGTCTGGTGACTAAAGTGACATTTGGAAATCAAATGAAAAATTAAAAGAGGACATATTATCCCCCTTTCCCACCTTTTCAAACAGTCCCCCTGTGGTCTAAATGAAACATCTGTTGATCAAAATATAACATGAATCAAGCACCAGAGGAGGTTTGTGACCCTGTATAAACCAGCTCTCTCAGAACGCTCCGTTTTGGTGTGTGTGTCTCTTTAAATGCGTGGGTCGGTAGGCACTCAGGTTACCCAAATAAATGTTCAAAAACACTGTAGAAGAGGATTTTTCAGATTATGTCCTCTTTAAGTGTTTTACATTAAAATTCTGAAATATAAAAATTAAGCCTTCTAAAGGGTTTTTTTTTCCAAATTAAAAATAATATACAAAATTAAATTTAAAAAAAACTTTTGTAATAGGGAAATAAGAGTAAATAATTCTATAATTAACAAAATTCAGATTTTTAGCTTTTATTGTATTTCCACAAATTGTGAAGAATATTATTCCATCTTTATTTAGTAGACATAACTTCTGTTCTTGGCCGCATAAAGGGCAATGTACAGACAGCTGGGCTGATATAAAAATGTTTTCAAACACTTGAGTTACTATTGTTAATTCCCTTTGCACATGGCAGTGGCTGAAAATAGGTGAGAGCTGTCTTTATCCCTTAAAGGACGATTCATTCAGAGTGCGTTACCTCAACAGTCATTTCTTTATACTGGAGAAGTGAGTAAGTTGCAAAAGAAAAATATCAGTGCAAAGTTCACAAAAGGCACTTCTGTTGAGTTGATGTCTGCAGACGATTAGTAAAAATGATGTTCACAAATGAAGAAGTGAGAAAAGTGATGCTAAAGTCATCCTTTATTAAATGTTTGAAAAGAAGTCAACTACAGTGGTTTGACAGCAGCAGACAGATGAACAACTCACTGACAGCAGCCAGACTACTCTCCTCTAGAAGACCAAATATATATTTCTTAACATACACATAATGTAGAGGCAAACAGTGAGATGCATTAAATTAATGGTGAAAATGTTTTTTTAAACAACATTCACTTCAGCTAGGTAGTTCTTTTCGTTCAATTTCTACCCGACAGTGTTGTGATGCAGCACATCCAGGTTTGAGAGGTGTACGTTGATCTGCGCCCGATCTTTCTGCAGACTTGTTTAGAGAAAACATTTTGGTAGAGATAAAGTTCTCTTAAAGGCAGCGAAACCCTCCACACAGCCAGCAAAGATAAATATTGACAATGCAAATGTACACCTTGAATACATCTGAAACTGAAAGACCTGATAAGAGGAATGTGTTGAAAAATCGAGAAGAGACGTTACAAATTTAAACACACTCACACACGTACCAGATTAAACAATACATTTCCATTATAAGCTGGACCAGAGTTCAGAGAGGTGTATCTTTTTTCAAACCCTGGTTATGTGCCAATTTGATTCTCTTTGACAAAACTCGGTCTGTATGCTCTTTGTATTCTGGGGTTCAATGAAAAGTGTTTGACGTTGGGGATTTGGACGAAGGGTTTTTAAGCCACCATCAGGCGCTTCTGCAGAAGGACATCGATCCTTGCCCACCTTAGAATACCAGGTTAAGGGCGAGGACGTCACAAACAGCCCCAAACACACTTGTGTGTGTTGGTGCTCCTCTGAGAAGACGACTGGCGGTGCCCAGAAGGATGTCAGCAGAGTAACCCCGCTGTTCAGCAGGCAGCTCTCATTTAAAAACTTCCTCAGCCAGGACTAGAGGCTCGCACATCCTCATCCTCTCAGCTTGGCTGCTAGCCTAAGTAAGTGCTTTCAGCGATTCAGACACTGGGTTTGGTGTTAGGTTTTTGTCCTGAGAAAACGACTGCCGCGTACACTGAGAAGCTGAAGGTGAGGCTGAGCCTAAAGGTTGGATGAGAAGGGATGGTAGATGAGTCTAATATGAGAGCTGCCCGCTAAACGAGCAGGGTTTAACCTCAGCAGCCGGCCTGGGTGATGTCTCCACCTGAGCTCTTGGTCACGTCCATAGTGGTAAAGATCTGCAAGGATAAAAGAGAAACCCAGGTCAGGCAGTGCACATTTATCAAGGGGCTTTCCACAACAACAACATATATTTTTAATGTTTTGGATGGGACAGAAAAAAAAACTAACTGTACATTTTGTGTCTTAAACTTGAGTTCCGTGAAATGGGCCTAACATGGTTAAATGAAGTGTCCTGCATTTATTTAAAATGAAGATATGTGGGCCAAACTTTTGTAGGAAATGGAAATATAAGCAATGGAAAACATCAAACAAGAGACCAATGAGCTGCTAGATGTACTGCAATTATCACCCAACTTCATTTACATATTGAATGTCATGTTGAGATCTTTCATTATGCTAATTCATTCAAAGCCTGCTCCACAGCACAGAAAACGTTTACTAATAATCATTAACCATTGAAAACAATCTTGGATAACAAACAGATTGTGAATACTTCAAGCCAAATCCAGTTGCTGCCCTCTTATGAATTATGTCAACATCCATTTTTGGCACAGTCACCATTCATACAGAAAAACCAGGAAAGTGAGAGAGCAGGAGATTATTTCAGCAGAAAGAAAAGAAAAAGGTTTCAGACCTTAGAGAAAGCCAAGGAAAGTGAAGGAAATCTTAACATTTGATCTCCACTGTTTTGTCCTGGTCTACATTAGATGACATTTCAGCTTGAAATAAATCAATGTATTGACATATAAACTGTGACCGCAGTTTAACCAGATACCCGATTTGTATCATATTCAGGATATGATGTTGACACAACATGAGGAAACCTGGTTATTCATTCCATTGTCTCTACATTATCAAGACTGCATCCATATCAGGGCTGGGAATCTTTGGGTGTCTCACGATTTGATTTTGATTCATGGGGGTCATGATTCGATTTAGAATCTATTATTGATTCAAAACCATTCTGGATTCATGATTCAAAGTCTATTTTTGAATGAGTACATACTTCAGGATCTACTCCAGTCATCTGTGAGACTGGCTGAATTTCTTACTGCTCTATTTGGCATTCTACTGAGTTAAAGAGCTTTAGCACTTAGCAGGGAGTGACTGATGAGCCAAATTAATCTATTTTTCAAAGTTATGAATCTTTTTAAAATTTCAGAAGATTAAGAATCTCCTAGTCTTGAGTAATGTGGATGGGTCAGTGCAGGGTTGAATATGTGTGGGCAGTGAGTTCCAGAGGCAGTTATGGTGAAGGCTCTTTCCCCCAGGGTTTGGAGCTTGGTTCTTTGTGGGGGGAACAAGAGGTTGGCGTTGGATGAACGGAGGAAACGAGAAGGAGTGTGACGGTGGAGGAGATCAGTGAGGGTGGAGGGGGCCTGGTGGATGACGGCTATACCCATACATTCTGAGGGTGTGGGTGCCATTATTCCTTGATTTCTCATTACCTCTGTCTTTGTGCTCTGCACCAACATAATGCTCAGACCATGAAGGTCGTGTACATGCAAAGGTTAACCAGGTTTCTAAAAAAATGTGCTCATGTGTTTAACCAGGATACTCGAAACACCTTGAATAGCCAGGACACTGATGTGCATTCAACACACTCAGTGAAGCATGATGACCAGCGGCAACAAATGGAAAATAAATAAATAAATACATCCTGCACTGTTAGAAAAACAGTGTGGGAAAGATTTTATCAGTCTGCACCGGTCTGCGACTGGCTGATGAGTTAGCAAAAGTACTAGGCCGTGGTAAATTCTCTGCTAAAGGTCTGTAGCCTGCAGAGTTTTTGTGCAAAGCTAATCAAAAATACAAACAAATACCGTCAATCAAAGCAGATGTGGATCATTAAATAATGAAAGGTAAGACACTGAATGAGTTCCTCTCTTTCCGGCAATGGTAAAAAAATGCCCTACCTCAGCACAGGTTGGGTGGATGCCGATGGTGCTGTCAGCTGCTCTTTAGTGGCACCGCATTTCATGGCTACACCATAGCCCTGCGTCACCTCCCCAGCATTTGGACCCAGGTAGTGGAACCCGATGACTCGGTCCTACAGTGTGACACGGGTTACAGTTAACACAATCATTGATGTGACTGAGGGTAGGAGAAGTGACACAGCTGTGCTAAACGGAGGGACGGTCTTACGTTGTCCAGTTTGTTGCAGATGAGCTTCGAGTAGCATCTGTTGTTGTCCCTGCCGGGCACAGTGAACTCCAGAGGCCAGAAGAGACTGTGGAACACCTGATTGAAGAGAGAATGAAAGATACGCGTCTATTTCACGGGGTAAACAATGCCAGCATCAGTACATCTTGTCCAACTGATAGTAAGTCAAACAGGTTTCCCCCCCCCATGCTTATTTTTCATGACACACCCTTTAAAAAAAATGTGCATGCATGCATTTGTTAATAAACCTTGAATCTAAAATATGAAAGTTACATTTCTCAGTTCAACTAAATGAGGAACTAAGCATGGGCGTACTGAGGAGCTCATATTATTGTATCATTTCGTAACACCTCAAATATATCAGGCCTTAAAGTTAACGATGCACGAGTGCTTCACAGTTTGATGTTTAACGTGACTGATGTTGACTTTTTATAGATGCAGCATGGGTGAAGAGCCCGAGACAAGTTTCTCACCTAAACTAACTTTAATCCTGAATCCTGTGTGAGTCCTTTACGAACAGAATGTATAAACTGCTTCTTAGAAAAGAATAAATACCAGTATGTGTCGTTGGCAAAGTCTGCTCATGTATTACAGGTCTTCAGTGATTACTAAATACAGCTCCTGTCACATGTTTCACTGTCAGATAGACCACACATGTCAGTAATTATTCAGATACCTGTGTGATGGGTGTTTGTTTGTTACCTCGATGTTTTCCTGTCCATAGAGCTCAGTGGCTCTCTCCTCTGACAGACCACAGGCGCCGTACTCCAGCGGGGTGAAGACCGTGGTGGGAACGTTGATGTAGTCACACTGTAGAATAGATACAATAGATATTTATTAGTTTTACAGAGAGCCTCTTGTCCTCTAAACGAAAAACCTCCCCGGGTTTTGTATATTTTGCGGATGAATAAAAGATAGCTGTGTTTGATTGCTGGAGGGATTTACATCGACTCTTGCAAATATTTTTCCACTTTTATTGCAGAGACAATAAAGTCCCTGCTGTAGTGAAATTAACAAACCATTATGATTCTTCTTATGCTAACCGCCATGACAAAAAAGGATCTCAATATGGACTTGTTTGCCGGCATTAATAAAAAAAATAAAAAAAATTCTAATGAGGGAACAAAGAGTAAAATCTTTCAAAAAGACACACTTCAACAATTTGTATGACATTTTGTACATCTTACTCACGCCATGATGTTTTTGCAACTCATACAGCAGTGATGATTCATGTATTCATTTCATATATATTATTTTTGTATACCAACATTAACATGAGCCTCATTATTGACATAGTTCAAGAATAGGGGATTTGGTTTACTAGTTTTCACATTCAAGCAAGCACTGTACCTAATCCAAAACTATCGTTAAAGCAGTCATCAGGGTTCTACAAGTCTTCCTCTGAGTTGTAAACATAAAGAAATCTTTGGAAAGCCTACTTTATACATCTCTGTGTGTCTCTTCATAGAGTTGTACCTTGAGTTTTGCCCCAGCGTAGAGGCGCCGTGCGAGCAGCTTGCCGGCCTGGATGGCTACAGGTGTCAGCTCCCACTTGCCTTCCAGGATGTCTCCGATGGCGTAGATGTTGGGCACGTTAGTCTGCTCTTCATCGTTCACTGGGATTTTTCCATTCCTAGAATGATACAGCAGAGGAGAAGAAGCACAAACAATACCCCATTTAAACTTGGTTCTCTTTGACAAGGCGGAAATCATTGAAACAGTCACAAAAGGAGACATCCTGATTTATACAATTTTAACTCTGTCTTATTCTTTTATTCCAATTTATCTAAATATCTGAAACATCAGCATCGTCCAGCTAACAGAGGGCAGGAAAGAGTCAGATTATATTCTGTACTGTACCGAAGCTGACCTAGCAGACCCCGAACCCGGTGTCCTTCTGTGTTGGCCTCATATGAATACTCCTCAGATCATATGACAGGGCACATGACTCACTGAGCACTCCTTCAAAGCCTCATGCTGTCTTAATCCCTGTTGTATTCAAAGGCTGAACCATTCATTCATAAAAGACTTCACTCACTACACAACTCAAAAAAATGGCTACATTTCTTATGCTCCTGTTACTTGAAATAATTAATCAAGTTTCTTAAAAAACAAAACAGCTGATATGGTTTATAACTTAAAGTCTAGTTTTTCTCAGAGGGAAATGTATTGATGACAGGCGTCAACCCTGAAATGACTCCGACCTAGCAAGAGTAGACAAATAATTATAATGATAGCAGAAAGAGAAATTCTAACTTATGGAAAATGGATCTCCCCCCCATTAAAAGCTACTTTCAACACAGTACAGGGGGGGCTCTTTCGTCTTGCTAATACGATTTCCCTCCACTCTCCCTGCTAAATCTCCCATCGCAAACTCAAACAACCCCTGCAGAGAGCCATGGGACAACAATACTGCTGAATCACTGTGACTGTGCCGTGAGTCTTAAAGGTACAGTGCACTGCTGCAAGTGCTGAAATTGACACGGGTAAACAAGAGAAGACAACACAATGAGACGATAACGTACTTAGGGTTGACTTTGACGCCTGTCTTGTCCAGGCCAATCTTGTCTGTGCACGCGTCCCGGCCAACGGCTATCAACACCTGAAGAGCAAAGAAACGGCTTGTTTAGTTTAAAGGAAGTGCTCGGCTAATTCCTGCAGGAATGTTGCAAGTGCTTTAAAGGAAAGAATAGGGGGGAAAAAGAGGTAATGCAACATGTTAATATTTGTGTTTACTCTGAGATCCTTTGTAACAGTTTCAACTCAGTTTGACAGCCAAAGTTCAAAACTAAATATATTAGAGCTGGATTGACATCAGAACTTGAAACCTGCCGATCACACACAAACATTTCATCTACTTTCAACTTGCTAAAAAGATCCTGAACCAATCAAGTTGAGATCTAGGTCAGTTATGACTCGTTTCTTTATCACTTATCCATAACAGGGATCCCAGGTCTAGTTTAGTCTTGCTTTATGCAAATAGTGTGGTTCAATGACGTGGCCCTTGGCAGCAACCAACAGGAGCGGTTTCACCCGCACCAAACAGGAAGCTGCAAACTAGTAAACATTGCGGGGGTTACTTAAACCTCTCCCCACTCTTTGTGCTTACATGGAGGGTCCGCCACACTGAGTGGGTGCAATCTATAACCTCTGTGTGCAGAGTGGGAGCTTTGTCTGCACTGATGAAGAGGTGCAAATCCTTTTCATTGTTCATCATGGGAGACGTTCTGTACATCAATATATATATTCTTATAGACAAAATATGTAGTTTTATTTTTCCAAATTGTAGAATGAATTTTTGGAGTCTGCCAAATGGTAGTTCATGTAGACAACTACGTATGCATGATGGGAATTGCTGTCAAAAGATGTAGTTGTAATCTTGCCGTTAGTGACCCTGCAAGATCCCCAATCTTTAGTCTGTGAGCAAAAACTCTCTGAGCTGCTGTCTTTGGATGTGAGAGAGTGTCAGATCTTAGTCTTTAAAATGTCTTGTTCAAGTTTACGGAAGGCATATAAATGACCGAACAACTAATCCCAGATTCAAGGTAGTTAGCCGGTGTTAACTAGAGCAACTTGTTTAAGTAACTTTATACTACAGAGGCATAGAAACTAAAAATCTACCAAACCAATTAGGTGGGGTTGTGATCATCTACTGTACTATAGCTAGTTTTACAGTCCAAACATAGAGACACTTTCTCTGTGTGCTCTGGTCAATAGGGACTAGCCAACACTGCCCCTCATCTTTACAGTGAATAAATTTAGGCTCACAAATCGGCCTAGCTGGCTAAAAGAATAGGTAGGTAGCGTTAGCAATCTTTTTAAGCTCAGGCTTAAATTCTAAGAGGTTTAGTCACTGTGCGTGTTTATTCACAACCAAAGCCTTAAGTTGGTGGATTGAGATGTTGTTGTTATTGCTGGTCAGGCTAACACGAGCTAACTGGCTACAATTTGTAGCAGCTGTTGAGTTAGCTGGAGGGAAGAGAGAGGCAAGGGACAAAAGGTGAGAGTCATGACGAGCACTGTCCTGAAAAAGAAAACGTAAACGTAAAGATAAGACTCTGCACTTTGGTGCGACAGTGTCTCAGTCTGTAGGGACTTTGGTTGGGAACCAGAGGGTTGACTGTTCACGGTCCGGTACAGACATAGCATGGAAATTGGATCAGTTTCTGGTGAGGTACCAGTTCACTTCCTGAGTTCAGCCAAGGTGCCCTTAAGCAATGGATTGAACCCCCAACTGCTCTGGGCGCCCATCCTTGTGCAGCCCCCACACTCTGACTTCTCTCCATTAATGCTATGGGTCCTGTTTGTGCATGTGTGTATTACGGGCCTGTGTGTGTGTGTGTGTGTGTGTGTGTGTGATATCCGTCAATAACAGAGAAAGTTCAATATCCTCGAGGAATAATTATTAACAATAAAAAACTTAGAATAATAATTCATATTCAACACTTTCACACTCCAAAAAATCCCAAATAACGAACCCTGTTTTCAACAGCTTGAACATCAGTGACAGACCGGAGAGTTAAAGGAAGGACGAAGTGATGAGTCGTTACATACAGTGTTGTACTCTCCCTCGATGATCTCGTCCGTTTCTGTTGACTTGGCTGTCACCTTCAGCCTCCCAGGAGTGCCTGCTTCCAGCTCCTCTACCTGACACACACAGACGTGGGAAGAAAGATGAATGGTGCCTCTGTCACACGCGGAGATAAGAGGTCAAACTTATGATACAAGAGGACATAAATAAATCTGGTGCTGTAAAGTTATATAGCGCCCAGAGTCTACTGATAACCTTTTGTCTCTGTAGGGGAACAAGTTCCAAGATATCATTGACAACTGATTTTAGACAGACTCAGTTGCCATCAGTGGCGACCACTTAAGACAGACTTAATTTGGGCAGGAAACCTGATGTATTGAAAAGGATATGCTTTAACTTTAATGAGTTATCATTGATTCAAATGCAGCAAGCCGAACTGAAATTATTTAACAGGCTTTAATGCCACAACATTTTTTTGAAGAGGCGTCACAGCCTATCAAACGCTCACCTTTACAGGCACAAATTTTCTGAGGAACTTCACGCCGTGCTCCTCCATGTGCTCCCCGGCACGGTTGGCCATGTCCTGGTCAAAGCCTCTCAGCAGGATCGACCGCACCATGACGGTGACATCGAGACCGAGGCCGGCCAGGAAGCCGCCGCACTCCAGAGCCACGTATGAAGCGCCGATCACCAGGGTCTTTCCCGGGCAGTAAGACAATGAGAAGAGGTCATCGCTGGTGGACAAGCACAGACGGGGAAACAGGGTGAGTGTTCAAAACGGGGCTCACTCCAGCTTTAAAATGAGACTGATTTTTGATGCAATGTAAGTACAACACGACATCATTGGATGTTAGGCTTTGTGGCACGCAGCATGAAACCATTAGCAGGTTGCTAAAGCAGCAGGATTACCACCAGAGACACCTGTGGATAATGTAGCTTAGCATTTAGACAGCTGTTTGATTGATGAACGAGGGTGAGCCACCTGCACAGGATAAAAAGCCTCAGGATCATAAAAGGTGTGCTGGTGTTTTTAGATGTGACACACAATGGCATTCTATACTTCTTCAAACATCTGCTGAACCAAACCCTCTGGTCTAAATTTAGCTCTGGGTGGGGCTTCCTGCTCGGTCTGATAAGAGACTTGTAATATCACAGACACCATGGAAGAGGCGTTGTGCGCTCACCTGGTGATGCAGTACTCCTTGTCTCCAGGGATGCCAAGGTAGCGCGGCCTCTCTCCTGTAGCCAAGACAAACTTATCTGCTGTGTAAAATGTCTCCTTCCCTCGTTTGTTTGTCGCCTGTCAGAACATAACAGACGCTCTGAGACATTTTTCAAACAGGTTCCAAAATATGAACTTTCGACTGGCTCTTTAATCACAGGTAGAACATCCAACATCAACAACAATACTGAAATGAAGCCAAAAAGGCGATCCTATTTGTTTAGCAAGAAAAAAACAATATGGCCACAACAGGCTCGGCAGCAATTCAAAGCAGGCAGCGTATCAACATTAGGGTGAAGTTTCAGAGAGGCAAAGGGTGAGAACTTTGGAGGGGGAAAGACCTAATCCACATCACTTTATAATGTTGCATATTGTAATTACGGAAAATACTAGTTAATCAAGTCTTTTTTAACTGAAGCCAAATCATGAATCCCAGTAAAACATAGGCGCAGGCTTAGGGTCTGTAGGGTCTGATTCAACATAGTCCTGGCTTACCTTGACTTTGTGTGGTTCAACAAACTCTGCGTAAGCATTGATATAGTTGACATTCTTGTCTCTCAGGGCCACCCTGTAGCCCCAGTTCAATGAGCCGATGTAGTTGTTCACCGCCGTCGTCATCGTCTCCCAGTTATGTTTCACTGCGTGCAGACAGACAGTCGCCATCAATGAAGGGACGCTCAATAACTACTGATGAGGCTTGCCTCTGATTTACCGTGGCAAGCTGGAGAGATGTCCCCCCTTCGCGACCTCCTGGGTCGGTGCTCTGAGCCCTCACCTGTTTCCTCAAACTCCCAGCCGAACTTGCGTGCGTCCTGCATGGCCGTGCCCAGCAGGGCTGTCTGGTGCATCAGCTTCTTGGGAATGCAGCCCACATTGACACAAGTTCCACCGAGACCTTATCAGCATAATGGAAAAACACAAGCAAAAGTTTATTTACAAAAGAGAATAGATTAGAATAAAAACTGCATCCCATGTATCGGCTAAGTATCCACAAGTGGAAATATCTTACCCCAGGTGGTTCCCTTTGGTGTGGGCACAACATAGTCCAGTACCATGACCTTCTTCCCCAATAAAGCAGCTTCCTGTAATGTTCAAGAATGTTTTTTCTTACAGACTGCAGAAACGTACATTTAATGGCTCAAATAAGAGTGATTACTGATTACAACACGAACAGGTTTGCTTTAGTTTCACTCTGATTGTGTGAAAAGCACAAGATTTCACAACAGTAAAACAGCCACTACCATAAAGCTTCAACAGGTTGGATATGTTTCACATGGTTTTCACCTTTGAGCAGGCGAGGCCTCCCGATCCTCCTCCGATGACAATCAGGTCGTAGTCATAAGCATCATTTTCTTGACTCAGCAGCTGCTGCAGGCTGCCGTCTTGATGAGCCTGAAAAAAGAAAAAAAACACACAATGTTTTATCATTACAGCTGTTGAGTAGGTCCATCATGACCTACTAAAGTAATGATGAGGCAGCAGACTCCTTCGAGTAACATGACATGCTGGGAAATAGTGTTGCACTGTATACTGAAATGTCAGCAATTTGTATTGAAAACGGATCAGTGCTAGATTAGAATGATGCTCTGTACTTTTTTAGGTCCAATGTGGCACCGCTCTGGCGGATTGCTTAAGTTGAAGCCATTACCACAGGTTCTGCTTTTGTCCTTGTACTACCAACTGTGACATTAATTTCAGCACTGCTCAGGATTACAGAGGGAAATTTTTTTTTAAACACCATTTCATATTCTGACAAGAAGAACCTGGCTTAAAGGCAGAGCTGGAAATCAAGCAAGACTTGAGAATCAACATCTCCTCAGAGCTCACACATGCCACCTGATCACACCTGCTCTGTAAGAGTGGAGACAGAGAGAGAGGACCTCAGCACATCACTTTCAGATTTATTCAACTAAAGAAGCAGCTGTGCATTACAAACTAATGCAGCAACTAGAACAGAAACGACCCCGTGTTTTAAATCTCCTGTCATGTCAATCAGTTCCCTCCCCTTCAAAGAACATGAGTAGCTCTCTCTCTACCTCATTTCTTAAAAGACATTAAAAACACAAAATTAACCCTCATTAAAGGGTTTGTGTCTCAAGGAGGGTTCTCTCTCTCCATGCAATCAGTCCACTTAGAGTGCACTCACACAAGGCCCAGTTGCCCCGCACCGTGCCGAAGCAAGACTTTACAGTTTATTAAAGCATCCAAACTACCTGCTGCTGTTTGATTAACAATTGATAAAGGTCCGGTGTAATGCTTCACTGCCTAAGCGTCTACAAACCAAGCTATAATCCACATTACACTACAGACAAATTAAGAGTACACTCCATTTCGCGGACCATCTTCCTGCAACAGGAAACCTCTGAGGACTTTATCTTATCATCCTTGTCTCATGGTTCTGGTATTTACCCTCAAATAACATGCATGGCTCACTGGATATAACCTGTTGGCACACCTACATGTTTTCTGGTAAACCCATTATCTTTCCTGCCATGTCTGTTGCAATGATGGTTGATTGCGTAGTTTCCTTCTGTGGCTTGCAGAGCAGAGCAGATTGCGTACCAAGCTTTAAGGTGTGGGTCGGGCTTCAAATGTCACCAGAGTTGTACAGGCATGTCTATACACAGATTCTGTTTCTGGTGTCACAAACTGAAGGCAGACACAACAATATGAACCGAATCCCTTCAGCACAGTCAGTAGGACACGTGTTGTTCCTTACCTTCATTGTGTTGTCACAGCCGCCAAGGTGCTTCTTGTTGATGAAGACATTAGGAACAGTTTTCTGTCCAGTCATCTCGACCAGCAGTTCCTGGTAGTTGGGTCCATCATCTGGTCAAAGTGAAACATATTTATGATTATGGAATACCAGCAGTTAAAACATATTCTGATAGCATTCATGTCTTTCCAGATATCACTTCATGACACAAAAACAAAACAAATCCAGCTATCTATACACACTGAATGGGGATGAATTTTCAATCGCGTCAGGTCGTGTGTAGTGTTCACGCAATGGCAGCTTCACGCTCGGTTATGACGGTGTGTGTGTGTGTGTGTCAGTATTTTACACTGGTATATTGGTCACACTGGTGTATAAGACATAGCGCACTTTTTCAATGAAAATATACATATTAAATGTGTTTTATACAACGGATTTTACCGTAATACTCAGCAGCTGATACAAGATATTTTAAACCTGTTGGTCAGATCATACACTCCACAAATATTAATGTTTCTCTTTCTGCGTTAGATAAAAGCTATGACCTAGAACTCATTACATTTTTTATGTTTTTATTTTGCATGCTGACAAGTTTGAGTGCTAATTATTTTCAGCTGATATTCTCAAAAATATGGCAACCGTGAATCCAGCTGAAGTTGCTGGCCCAGTATGTATAATGTTAATTATTTATTTAAAACATTAAATGAACAAACATGTAAATATGCCAGATTGTAGACAAAGGCTAGTTTGCATCTGAAGTAGAATAAATAAGTTATGCAAGTGCAACAGTCAGATACGTTCGTCAGATAGTGGAAGTTTTGTGGGCAGTATGACCGGTTATATTTCCAATGGTGATTAAGTTTGTTACTCATTTATTGTGTCATCATGAATCGTCTGTATTAGATTCAACAGACAGCAGAGACTCTCAGGGATATTACTCTGTAAAACAAAGCAGAGGCGCCAGGGTTTACTGAGATATGGCACGAGGCCAAGTCGTCTGCAGGGAGTGACTCAGCAGGTTTGCTGCTGCTGCAAAAGGAGGACAATAGCAGAGTCTGGGGTGACATAATGATTTCCCCTCTATATCATAGAGGACATGTGAAGCATGTGTTGGAAGAAAACTGGGGATTTAGACGACTTTAATGTTGGTAGATACTTTCTTACATACTGGGATGCTGTTATGGATGATGTGTTTAATTAGTTATTATCAGTATCCTAGGAAACATAGTCTTTATTATTATTAGTTATTAGTGTTTTTCTTTATCGCCTTTCATTATCTGTTAATTCAACACCTTTGCAGCATTGATAATCAATAGAGTTGTCAAATAAATCAACATTTTTTACACCACACAACTCTATGACAACAGTCAGTTATCAAAAAGGTAAATCAATAAACTGATTGGCTAAAGTGTTACTAGTGTAACAGGCTGTTTTATTTTCGTTATCGGTGCATAATTTGTAAAACACACGCCAAAAGAAAAGATTAAAACAACTTTCAGCCCTGGATGTAGCCTACATCAACTAGTATGACATTGCACTTTTACACATGTAGAAAGTACAACACTTATGATTACTTTAAGCTTTATAAACTAAATGTTGTTGGATATTACTAAATGATAAATACAGCATCCTTCTTCCTCTGCAAACCGAGACAAAAACAATGAATCCATCTTACCCATGAGATCCAACTCCACCACATTGCAGTCGACTTTGAGCTCTTTGAATAAGTCCTTCACCTACAGAGACAGACGTGAGACAATTGAAACAGTATTAAAATGTCTTCAACATATTAAAACACTGACATGACACTAAAACCATTGTAGAGAAGATCAGCTGCTCTTTATTTCTAACTAGATACCATAACTCTGTACAACAGCTCACCTCTTGTGATCAGAGAACTGTCATCATGATAACATCTGTCTCTCCAAACTGTTATCTGTTCTGCACATGTTACATTTACAAATTATCTCTGCACTGCATGTTCACTTCATCTGTCTGTCTACTCGCCGTTATATTGAATAGTTTCTGCTTATAATATGTCAACACTCATGCACTTTAACTTATGTCAATACTGTCCATTTACAACTCTGTTTTTGCACATTTACATTTAATCTTCCACAATTAATCTTCCTATTTAAGACTAGTAATACTAAGTTAAATCCTGGTTGTATATATTCACATTCTTAGTTTTAATATTTTTAGTGCTTATTTACTTTGTATTTAATTTTATATTACGTTTAGATTTGCCAACATTGTGTTTTTTTACTCATTGTGTGTCAATAAAGTAATTATATTCTATTCAATTATTTTCTATACTCCTCATCCGTCAGCTATTTTTATATCAACAAATAATTTAATTGCTATTTTAACTTTATACTCTCTGTGTACATAAATAACTTAATTATAAGGATGTGAACTTCAAAGCATCAATGTGTTTTTGAACCCCGACGTGCACAGCGCGTCTCGTACGTAAGGTCACGTTGGGTGTTAAGTTAACTATGAACTATAAATTACGTAACTTATCCAACTTTTAAAACCCCAATAAGGCACATTCTGCTGAGCTTCGAGACCGTATTTATTACAACACTTGTTAAAATCACTCTAATGTAAATAATAATTTGCGTAACGAGTTTGTTTAACGCTTATTTGAAGTCTCTCTAGACAGCACCGGGGTACTGCTTTGACGCTGATAGACCCGCCAGCAATTAGCCGGAGTCCGCCAGCATTTAGCCACAGCCCGTGTGACTTCGCGGGAGATGCAATGGAAGTTTCCGACCTCCGTTAACTGAAGTGATTACGTGATAGAAGATAACGTGATTATCTTACCTTCACACAATACGGACAGTAGCTTTTGCTGAAAACCAGGACTTGATTGGAGTCAATGAGCTGCTGTATCCGAGTTTTGAGTTCATTCTTCCCGGTGTCGTTTTCGATGGGAGGCATATTGAAGCTGTTTCCGTCTGCTTGCACCGACAGACGGCGAAACCGGAGACTGACAACACGGATTAACAAACAGACCAACTCTCTTTTTAAAAAAAAGGCTGCTTCTAATGTTATATCTGCTGGTGCCGTCGCCAAAAGATACCACTATGAAACAAGAGAAATGCGGTGACGACCACGGCCCCCCTACTCCTCTCTCGTCTGGTGTCGGTCGTCTCTCTACCAACCGCGCCAAACGTCTTTGGCTATTTCTTGTCTCGCTGCGTTGGGGTGCGCTCGATCCGGGTTACCTCACTCGACCTCACGTCCTGTCGCTATCCATTGGGAACAACGTGAACACCGCCCACCCGGTGCAATCCTGTGCTTCAAAATGAGCGTACCTCCTGAAAGACGTCACAAGGCTGCGGGAGAAAAACCGGAGCGTCTGCGTGAAAAATACCCGGAAAATACTCAATTAAAAACCCATAGTATTTGTTTAGAGGCGTGAAAATGCATATTTGATATAATTTTTTGCCACGAGTATTTTAAATTATTTTAAAGGGCAACGTCGCTTTATTATTAGTCTGACTGTAAAATAGCATATGTAGGCCTAGATACTAATTCCAACATTTTTTTAATAAAAATAATCATTAAAAGTGGCTCAACACGTCATTTACTGTTTTCAATCAGACATACCGAGGCAAATTCTGACTTCAGATGGCGAGGGATCATGAAATTAACTAAAAAAAACCTATTTAACCCATTTTCCCGAATTTTTCAATTAGGCTAAGACCTGTGGTTGTTCATTTATGTTGATATCAACCAAATGTAGACTCAACATACATTATTGTAGGCCCACTTTTGCATGTAAACTTGTACCATCGGCAGAAAGTCGGTTATCTACCGCCACCTGCAGGTTAAAGTAGTCAATTACATGTAACAGGTGCACAATACCTCGGGCACTTTATAACAGATCAAATGTCTGACGATGACGACATTTTTAGACAGTGTCGTAGGCTACATTATATGCCCAAGCCAATATGTTGGCAAGGAAATTTTATATGTGTTCTGATCATGTAAAGATATGTCTCTGTGCAGCATATTGCACTCCCCTGTATACTGCTCCCTTATGGAGTAAGTTCAAAAAATCAAGTATGCACAGACTTCAGGTTGCTTACAATGACTGTTTTAGGATCTTACTTAAAAAGCCAAGGTGGAGTAGTGCAAGTGAGCTATTTGTGAATGCAGGAGTTAACACCTTGCAAGCTTTATTGAGGAACTTTATGTACAGATTTATCGGTCGCTTGAATGACTCAAAGAATGTAATTATCATGCTGCTGTCGAACCCAAGTTACAGTGCAGTACGCTACCAGTCATACCTTTGGAGACAGGAAGAGGCGGGAATGTTTTTATTCTGATGTAAATGTGTGTTGTCTATTTTTTGCATTGTATGCCTTTTAAAATGGACCTTGAGTCTAATAATACAAGTTGATGATGATGATGATGATGATGATGAATATAACCACCAATCTCACAAACTGTTTTCCCTCCTTCCGTCAGGCAACAGGTACTGGAGCAGCATCAACAGTTTCTTTCCACAGACTGTCAGGATAATTAACAAACTGCGACAGTCAAAACTGTGACATAATAAACTGCTGGTCACTAATGACTCAAAAACTTAACAAAAAATTAATTAACTAAATTACTTCTAAGAAAAAGGGGCTCTGCAACAATTTAGAGTAGCACATTTTCTCTCACTCAAATAACCTCTTATATTATACATAAGCATATTTATCAAGGTTACTTGTTTAATGTATTGTTTATTCTTTTTATTAACACTTAATTTGTTTTATTAAGAGAGCCTGCATTTAGTAAAACAATAAAGCCTCCTTGAAACCTCCTCGGAAACTTGACTTGAATAATGTTTAATGACTCAATGAAGACAGATTGATTAAAAAAGATTCATCAAAATCAAAGCAGCAGAGCTTTTATATCTTGCCTCTTAGTCCCTTATACAAGCCATGTCAACTTATAGCTAATAATAATAATGAATTTGATTCATGAAACGCTTTTCACAAACTCAAAGACACATTTGTTTGAAAGGAAAGAAAGCTCAAGACAGAACAGTACAAACACTGTGACATTACACACAGGTCGTAAAGACGACAGCATATAAGCCACACAATGAAATAACACACGTCACAATCATACATTAAAAGCTCTTTTTGAAGTAGTGAGTCTTCAGTAGTCTTAGTGATGTAAATGTGTATGGGTCAGTGCCGTTTTGAATATGTATGGGGAGTGGGTTCCAGAGACAAGGGATATTTACACCCTTCACTCTGACTCGCAGGATTAAACCTTGGTGACCTCAATAAATACATACAAATTCACAGACATAACCTTGAACATAAATGTTATTTCCCCTTATGATCACTCTTTCTGAAACTGATCTATGTGTATAGGTGTAAATTATTTTGAAAAATGTCATAATTACATGTTGGCCTGATGATTTAAGTCCTAGCATGGTGTTTCAAATCTCATATTCCAAGAAACGCCATGATACAGCCAGGTTACTTTAATTGGAATAGTGACCCTTTTAAACCCCACTAACATGAACACAATTGACCTGTGCACAGCTGGATATGGGCACAGGCAAATAACAGGTCCCTATATGTGGTGATGTTCTTGAGTGGATTTTTACACCAATCTTTTTTTAAAGTTATCTTAGTTACGTTTCTCAGTTCTAATTTTGCAATGTTGACTTGGTGTTTCAGTGCAAAAACAATTAGCAAGGCAATAAAGCATTTCTGAAGGTTTGTAGGTGAAACACAGGGACTGACTGTTTTGGCCCTGGGCCTGTGCTTAGATGACCAACTTTCAATGTCTGCATCTTTGTTAAACTTTATCTTTTTTTTTTTACACCTATATAGTGTAGTAGCCTACCTCATGTGTCTGTCATTTGGAGTCAGCGTCAGAGGTGTTATGCAAGCAAGTCATTTTAATAAAAGGGTAAAACAGCTGTGTCAACAATAACCGAACTAAGCAAACAAGTCAGCAGGGCTCAGGAGCGAAAGAAAGAGTTATAACATTATTAGCCTATCAGAAAGTAGGAGGGAGGATTAGGACCACTACCATTTTTTTTTTAATTTCGAGATTAAAGTCGTAAATTTACGAGAATAAAGTCGTAAATGTACGAGATTAAAGTCGTAAATTAACGAGATCAAACTCTTAAATTTACGAGAATAAAGTCGTAAATTTAGGAGATTAAACTCTTAAATTTACGAGAATAAAGTCGTAAATTTAGGAGATTAAACTCTTAAATTTACGAGAATAACGTCGTAAATTTACGAGATTAAAGTCGTAAATTAACGAGATCAAACTCTTAAATTTACGAGAATAAAGTCGTAAATTTAGGAGATTAAAGTCGTAAATTTACGAGAATAAAGTCTTAAATTTACGAGATTAAACTCTTAAATTTACGAGAATAAAGTCGTAAATTTAGGAGATTCAACTCTTAAATTTACGAGAATAAAGTCATAAATTTACGAGATTAAACTCTTAAATTTACGAGAATAAAGTCATAAATTTACGAGATTCAACTCTTAAATTTACGAGAATAAAGTCATAAATTTACGAGATTAAACTCTTAAATTTACGAGAATAAAGTCGTAAATTTACGATTTTAATCTCGATTTTTTTTTTTTTTTTTTAAATGTGGCCCTAATCCTCCGTCGTAATAAAGAGTACAGATATAGGACACAAAATCACCTCGTACGGTGATTTATTTCGACACTGCTCTCGCGGTGACGTCACGCTGCTGAGTCAGGTACGCATCGTCAGAGAAACGCAATCAATCGACACATCATTTCCAGGTGAGTGTTGTTTGTTGGCTGACTTCCACCTTGATCTGATTGCGGCAGTGGAGTGAAGTTTTGCAACAGTGGAGGCTACACCATGACAGTTCAACAGATTTGAACACGCAAGAAAATAAGTTCTTTGACAAGTTTGTACAAGAGCCGACGAGCTGTGGAGGGGAGGGGGATAAAGCAAAGGACTCCACTGTCAGCTGGCTTCAAAACAGACTGCGTGTGTGTGTGTGTGTGTGTCTGTGTGTCTGTGTGTGTGTGTGTAGCGGTGTCTTGACTCTTCTGTTGTTGCTCCACCTCCAGCGTAGTGAATTTAAGGCGCAGTTCAGCTGCTGTGAAGCAGTTTCTCAAGAGGAAGCAGACGTGGGGGGGCTGACTGACTGTATAGGCTTCTTGTTTGGGAGAGACAAACGGAGAATCGACGATGGCAGAGAATAATAATAAGATGGGTCCAAACCTTCAGGCTGGGGCGGGATTCCTCGCCAAACGGGTCCAGAAGTCTTTGAATCGAGCTCAGGAGAAGGTGAGCCAGGGGTATGAACTTTCTAAAAATCATACCGAGTCTTCTTTTTTCTTCTATAAACTGCACTCTTCAGCTTGTTGTGCCATGACACAGACTTATCCAAGCCTGTCATCTAAAGGTGTCTTTGTTCGGAGCCCTGATCAAATAGTAGTCAAACGACTTTTCCTCAGAATTAGGCCAGGTGTTGTTTCTTATCTGATGAATGTGTAGCTTTCATATGCGTTTAGCAAAAACTCCCACACAGTCAGAAGCAGCAGATTACAAAGACTGGTTTAATGCAGCTGTTATTTACCTTTTAGAATATGGAAAATGAAGTGTTTGATTGCGGTTGTGTTGTCTATAAAATATGTCACCCTTCTACTACTACAAAAAAAAAACATCCCACTCTGTAGTCCATCATTTACCCCTGCTCTAAGCTGATGAGTAGATGATCCAAGAGGATAAAAAAACATCTGTAGCCTTGTTAGTGGACCTTTTTATAAGAAAGTGAGAGAAACTGTGATAACAACCACTAGGGTAAAGTCAAATCTTGGTCCAAAGGCATGAGGGTAACGGGAAACCTCTCTATGCAGACCATTAAACAGAGAGGACTATAAAACACACCTCTCGCTCTTAGCTTTGTCCATCACATGTTATTACTCTCTCATTCTGAGTCATCGGCCCTTGGCTGTTAACTTAATCGGTAAAACCCTAACAACACAGTCTGAGCCTCATACTGTTGTTCAGCTGTGTGCGGACACAAAAGCTGCCACTTCCTGACTGCGAGTGTGCACTTCCTCTCGCTTGCTGGGACTTTTTCACTCTGCTTGTGGCCGACTTGTTTGATTTCAATGCTCCACCTTAAAAAAAACCTCAAAACAGCAGCTTTAGTTTGCATGCA